GACACAACTTATTGCCTTTAATGCGCGCATACTTTCCGCCGTTGTCTTCCGGATTGATGAGAGCGCCGGCGTCTCCGTTCTCGTCGCCGCCCTCTTCGTCCTCCATATCCTCTTCTGGCGGACCGATCGGCCGATTGTCCACATATTTGTTGCCGTCGGCCGACCAACACGTGTAGCGCACGTTCTCGTAGATAACGCACAGATGGTTCACTTGAGTCGAGTAGAAGCGGCCGTAGTTCTGGTCAAAGCCGGGCCACTTGCGCGCCGGTTGCGTGTCGTCGCTCACCAGTCGTGTGAACGCCGGGTCCATATTCTTCTTCGGCCGACCCGTCGGGTCAAACACGTAGAGCTTGAGGTGAGTGAAGACGTTGATTAGCTTGTGGTCAAAGATGACGCTCCCGATGGTGACGGGGGATGAGCACAGTTTGCGGATCTTATTGTACACTTTGGGCAGTTTGCAGCCCAATAGGTCTCTGTTGTCTTTCCATATGCACTGTACGGTACAGTATAATCATTATAATATTTGTCATTAAATCTATGAACACTAAAAGCACTTACGTTTGAATCCTTAGACGTTAACGTGAAGTGTTTCTTCAGCTATCGGTTCCAGAAAAACAAAATTCAAAATTTAAATCAAATTAATCATCGAATCACTTGAACCCAAGAATTGTGTGACAACTCTAACCTCTTCCTCGGGAACCATATCGGTGTTGGACTCGTCGAAAAGTGCGGGCATATTATCCCAATCGAGTTGCGGTGTCTGCGAGTAGGCGTTGTCCTCCACAACGAGCGGTCGTTTGAGACAACTCTAACCTCTTCCTCGGGAACCATATCGGTGTTGGACTCGTCGAAAAGTGCGGGCATATTATCCCAATCGAGTTGCGGTGTCTGCGAGTAGGCGTTGTCCTCCACAACGAGCGGTCGTTTGCAATATTTGCTGCCTTTGAAGAAGTAGTAGATGTTGTGATTGATGGTCAGCACAGCCGACAGATACGGCGGAAAGTTCTCCACCGTTTTGCCGACGGGTGTCGGCCCGTTGTTATGGTTGTCGCGCAACAACTTCTGGCC